AATTACATGTGCCGTTCATGCACTCGCTGCGGTGAATGAAATAGCTTTGCAATAACAGCCAAAACTGTTTAGCTTCCTGTTTTCATTTTGAATATTTACAGCGAACATTTGGAAAGATGTCGGAATGAGATTGTAAATGCTTCAAATAAAGACTGAACACAGGAGGATTTCCAAATGTTTGACTCCCTAAAATGTGTCAAATAAACACATGAGCATATTTTTATTGCTCATGTTGGGCTTGTCTCTTATACTTTAAAAAAAAAATTCACACGAATAACTTCTGATCAAATCCAATTCCCAATTCCCGTCAGCGTGAGAGGTTTTACCATACATGCACTTTGCAAGAAACCGGCATTGGCTGTTTTTTTGCTTTGAGCTATAACACCATGCAAACATTAACTCTGTGTATGGTGATGTCGTTTATGAGTCTGTGTAATGCATGTGAAATAAATCTAGATATTCAACATTCATCTGCTGCACATTAAACGATGACTTTACTGCTGGCCTGTGCAAGTACTACGAGCATTGCACCACTATTGGTAGATTGGCCAAATTATGTATGAATGTGCACAACATAAAAGGTCAGTGAAGTTTTTGGACATCCTACCTTTCAGCATTTTGACTGCAACAGTCTTGCAGGTTGAGAGCTTGTCGATCCCAAAAGCAGAAGCCTCGACCACTTTTCCAAAAGCTCCATGGCCGAGTGTTTTGCCTGGCAAAGGAAGAAGGTTTTTGATAAGTGGAAAGGCATTAGAACTTTCTGTCAGGCTCTATAATTAAAACAACCTGCTGAAGCTCTGATCACCAGACAGTTTTTCTGTGAGGATTTGTGGTTCACTTGAGACCGGATGATAGCCAAGTTCACTGATAACCCTACATACCAGCTGCAGAGAGGGGTTACACCTATTCATTCTACCTTATGTAGCTCTGTCTATGATTTAATACTAACTGATAACCTTTGTATACATTTTTGTCATCATTAAAATTCAATCTAAAATCTTAAAGGAAAGACGTTACACAAACAGCGATGTTTAACTGAGACTTAATACTGATGTTCTGTCTTTGTTTAAATGTCATTTTGATGAGTAGACTGTGGAAGATTTCCAGTTTGGCCCCAAACCTGCATACATAAAACTTCCAGAAAGCAAAACAACATATTCAAAAATCCTGAGGTGACGGGCTATGTGTAAATCTGCTGCTTTATTATGATCTACTGTATCTACACTTACTGGACTCTTTGTTAGGTACAAATTTAATTACTTGTTAATACAAGTATCTAATCAGTCAATCACGTGGCAGCAACTCAGTGCATTTAGGCATCTAGACATGGTCAAGATGACCGGCTGAAGTTCATAACTCTGCAACAGAATGAGGAAGAAAGGGGATTTAAGCGATTCTGAATGTGGCGTGGTTGTTGGTCTCAGATGGATATTTCAGAAACTGCTGATTTATTGGGATTTTATCTCTAGGGTTTATGGAGAATAGTCTGACAAATAGAAAATATCCAGTGAGCAGCAGTTCTCTTGGAGGAAATGCCTTGTTGATGTCGGAGATCAGATGGGAATAGTCAGACCTCCGTCACCAGATCTCAGGCCCACAGAGCTGATAACAACAGTGCCACTAGAGCATCCGACAAATCTGCAGCAACTGTGTGATTCCAAAATGTCAATATGAACCAAAGAATTAAGGCATGTACGGAGAGGAAAGGGGTCCAACCTAGCACTAGCAAGTTATACCTAATGAAGTGTTCAGATGGTGCATATTTAATAATGAAACTTCTATCAAAACACTGATGACACTAAGCATTGCTCACCTAGTTGTAGGCGATCACGAGGAAACTCCCACTTGCTGCCGTCATACTGAAGCAAATCATTCTGCTCCTCGAGGGGATACTCATCGGGATCAATGATGATCGATGGACCCATCTTATAATGTGCTGGTTGCTGAAAAATTAATGTTATCATTAACGTTATGTTTTAGGTTTTAAGTGGCAAATAAGTAGAAAATAATACAAATTCTTCCTCTAGGCTTTTTTCTTTAGTCAAGTACAATATGTTCTAATTATTTCTTTTATCTAAGCTAAAAGGTCACTATTTCCCAATGATCATGACAAAGAAAAATCTTCAATACCAGCTAAAAGGATAATTCACTTAAAAAGCATTTAAAAAGCACACATAAGTCAGTCAGTTTCCAAAATAGCTGCTT